AGAAGACCACTGCATAAAGCCTAGCCTACAGGCTTGCTCCCACACTCACAGCCAGACAAACACAAACGAGCTAAAGGACCAAAATAAACCACAATAACAGAAACCAAACACAACAGAAAACAACCAAGCCAAAGATCTAAGAAGATCGGTTACAAGGCTTGAAAGTCCAGCCATTCCTTGTGAGCTCTTTTGATCACCACAGGGATAGGCATACAAGTACTCTCGAACAACCATAAGTTCCTCGACCTCCAAATCCACCAGAGGAGAAATGTGGTAAGTTGAATTCTATCCTCAGCTATTGCAGTTTTGTCAGTAGAGCATAACTGCCACCACCAAGCTCTGAATTTGCACCCTTTGTTGATCACTCCATCCCAATTAACAAGGCTCAATTTCCACAGAGTCAGGGCTCTAGGGCAATAAAAACACATGCTCGGTGGTCTCTGGGAGCTCTCCACAGCATTGACAAATTAAATCCACCTGAAGTCCTCTTTTTAGAAGGTTGGTTTTGACAGGGAGAGTACTAGTAATACACTTCCAGAGAAAGTGTTTGATAGTCCCTGTAACGCCCCATTTTATTCTAAAGACCTTACTGAATTTATTTATAAAAATCAGAGTTAATTTTTCGCAAAATCCTAATTTAAAACTTTGATTATCAATGGGCGCTACTTAACTACCAACAACAATTAAACAAATACGAACAAGTATAATGAATCTACACATGCATAACTCAGTTATAAAAATCAAATCGACTTATTCAATAATTTCAAAATCATCCAAAGAGTTTAACATGAATCAACGGTTCATCCAAACATAATCATGATGCTCAAAACGGAAGCATAAATATTCCAGTAATTCAACATAGATAATAATAGACGGAAGCAAAAGACACATCAAATAATGACCACCACTCGATCGTCTTCACGCCGCCACCGCCAACCATGTCAACCTAAGATAGGAAGAGGAGACAAAGAGGAAAACAATGGGGGTGAGCAAAATCATCATGCTCACAATTACCGCATAGTATATCTCGCATAAAGATTCAAAACCATAAATAAAGTATGCATAGAATCCAAGCTCTAGCTCCTTACATTTCCCGACGCAAACCTCCTATGTATATACAACAACCTTTCGATCAGACGTCGGCAAGGAGTAACCGGATACCTTCTCACCCCGGGTACAACGGGCGAGGGATCGTTTCCAGGAGACAGTGGAGCTATTTTTCCCAAGACACGGATTAGGGCATCCTCCTCCCGGATACAACGAGCAGGTGACCTCTCACTGCTTATGCATTCATCAAAGGCACTATCAACGGCACACTTAGACTAGGGTTCTCACGCATACAACAGCTATCGAAACGAACATTTATACGAAATAACGAGTGCGATAATTATAGATACAACGTAAATGTACCCACCTGAAAGTAGTGACAAACACAAACGCGAGGCTCGAATAAGTGGGACGCTCCAAACTGCTTTTGCCCAGGTATTTGACTCAGTTCTATTTAGAATGAACTCAAAAACCTTTGTTTGCGTGTCTCCGCCCCCTAGTGGACGTGACCAGAGAAGGAAGCCTTTAATTATTGGATTGATGATGTGCACCCAAATTGTTTGTTCCGTCTAAGCCAGGGTAGGAGTTGTGGGAACTTTGGGTTTTTTTCATGTTACGGGTTGGTATGGTTGTCCTCCGGCCCAGTCTCTTTTCAAGGCCGGATATTGCTCTGGTTCACGGTGCTCGGTACCGCTCCGTCCTGCCACATTTGACATCAAAATAATCTCTCGATTACAATCCAATCCAACGAACACACAATCTTGGTCGAAACTCGTCGACTAAGTGGCTCGTGGGAAATTCTCGTAGAGTTATGGAACATTTAACTCTACTCGAAACCAAGTATGGGGAAAGGCACATAATAGTCAAATATGGGTTAACCAAGTCCAACAAAAGTCAAAGGGGTCAACTGAGGTCAACGATTCGAGAAAACGTCCGAAAATCGGGGTACGAACTTGGGCTCACGCGCAACAAGGCGCTTCCAGGCGCGGGCTATCGCAAAATCCACCCGAGGGTTCGACTCCAAATTTTGAACACTTATAAAACATCAACATTGAGCAACATATATGGAAGATCACATAAAAATTTGTACTTAAACATAATGAACTAGTTTTTGCAAAATATGACAAGTAAATCATATTTTCAAGTTGACCAGTCAAATGAACGAGTTTCGATTTAAAATTTGAACACATAATATACATCACTGAGCATATCAAAATCACCAAGTTTCAGCCATATCACTTAAACATGCGATTTATAAAATTAAAACAAGATTTCAGCAAGAACAAGCATGAATTTAATGTCTGACCTAACGAATGATTTAATCTCTATACGTTTTATACAAACAACTTCAGCATGCTCATAATAACATATAAAATATCCAAATAAAAACACTAAACACAAGAATTATCATAATTATTGCAAGATTCAACAGAAATCATTATTTCGACAAAAACCTAACATAATGAACTCAATAATCTTGGGATTTTTATCTCATCAAATACAATATCAAATGAGCATATAAACCGAGTTTCAGGCATTTTCATTAAGAAACCTATTTTTCATGATTTATACAAGTTTCAGCAGAAATAATCAATTAAACATTTACCCTAGCAAATGGATTCCAAAAATCATAAAATTTTAACACAAGGACAATACATATCAGAGGAACAACAGATCATAAGGGTTTCTCATTAAACCCTATAGATCTAATACATTAAAACACATATAATACCATATCTTAACATTTATAAATCAAATAAATCATAAAATCATATAATATCACATATTCAGCAAGAACACATATAATACACCATTAAATAATGGAGTTTAGCATTACATACCAAACACCAATAGGGAGAACAACGACATGGTACGATCACATGCGTGGCTCGGGCCCTACGGACGGGTTCTTGTCCGCTTGGCTCGCTCGGTGTCTAACGGCGGCTCGCACGGCGAAGATGATGTCCCTCGGCGACTCGTGGATGTTGGTCGAGCACCAGGTCGTGAAGGGAGGCTCGGACGGTGGCTGGGAGTGCAACATAGCGCGTCTCGGCGTGTTTGCGAGTGAGAAACATGCACGCGGGGTTCGATGCAAATAATATGATAGAAAGAGAGGGAGAGGGGTGAGAGGCGAGAGAGAGAGGTAAGGGGAGAAATGAGAGTGGCTTACCTTTTTTAACAACCAAGTCTCATAGTAGCTTCTCAAATAAATCTGGTCAATGTTCTCATTAAGGGATAGTGGGTTGGTATAAGGGATAGGATGTTACAAATTTAAATTCAAAAATTCAAAACCACTTCTCGATGGTTTGCATGCATAGGGCGTGTCAAGGGGGAATCGGTTGGGGCGTTTTTCGGGCGGCGCGGGTGTGAGCTGTTGGCGAGAAAAAGGCGCGGGGTCTTGAGGCCCGTTTCAATGGTTGCGCGATCGATTTATAAATCCCGACTAGGGTCGATGCTCGATTCAATCGAACATTTAAAAATAACTTACAATTCAGCTTGATCATAAAATTTTAATTACTAAAACAATTAGACAATTACGAGCACATAATCGAATTACAATAATAATCGAGCACGAAATAAATAATCGGACAAATAAAATAAATAATACTTCCAAAATAATCCAGAACAAATGAGGCGCTATAGTCCCTTAAATATTAAGATGCCAACTCCTTGTCCAAGTTGTTCTAATGGCCTTTAATGAAGCACTAGATTCTGGAATATCCAGTTTCAGTAGCTTCCGCTGGATGAGGTGGGAGTATGTAGAGGAAGCAGTGAACTTACCTTGCTTTTTTAGACACCAGAATGCCCTGTCCTTTTTTTAGGGTTCAGATTCTTAATGCTCATAATAGCCTAACTATCTCTGGCATCAAAGAGCTGCCTTACTAACCAAGAATTCTATTCCAACCCATTATCCATCATAAGTTCCTTCACTATGTGATATGACCTTGAGCCACAACAAGAAGTTTAGGCTTATGGTGAGGCAGAGATGGCACCCAGTTCAAGTCTCTAATCCTAGTTTCTACACCACTTCTGATTTCTGTTCTAAAACCTTG